GTGATATGTATAATTACTTTACTGGTCGTGATATGTATAATTACTTTACTGGTCGTGATATGTATAATTACTTTACTGGTCGTGATATGTATAATTACACTCCCCAGTAGCTCAGCTGTAAGTACGGGGGCTTGTGATGCTAAATTCGGATTTCTATACCTGTGGTGGGCCTAGAACATCGTATAGATTATTGTTTAACGATAAACATTTTTAAGTACTTCAAGAACGAAAGTGAACAACAGTAAGACATTATTTTTACTGTTAAACCTCATAAGTTTTATTTTTATAATGGCAGGAATCAAACACCCACTTTACTCTCTGTAAACCGGAAAAAGAAGAAACCGAGATAATAGTGGCCGATAACAAGTTTTAGGGTTAAAGCGGGTAATGCTTAAAAGAGGTATATATATATATATATATTTTATAATTTCATTAAATTAAGGTTTTTTTATATCACGTCACAGTGCCGGAAGTAAGGAATTGAAACCCATCGTGTTAGTTTTTGGATTTAAGGAACAGATTGATGCTTCAAATAACTATTCCTTTTAAGACGTCACTAGTAACGATTGTTGAATCGATTATTGATAAACAGTGGTTTTTGTTACTCCATTCAATGAGCTTGATAGGTTTAGGGCTGGGCGTGGGCTTTAGTTGGCATGCTCAGACTGTGAACCCGAAGCTTCCTTATTCGCGGCGAGTTGTCTCAGAAAACACACTCTGCAGTTTGGGGGCCGTGGATGTGCTATAAGAGTGAAGGTTAAAGTCCACTAGAATGTCCCAAGAGTTGGCGGTGGGTACTAATGGTTAGCTACCTTCTCTCTAGTCTGTCAGTTCAGAATTACATAGAGCTGTCCACGGACAATCCTTTGTGTAGCTTTGCACAAACGAAAGAGTAAAGGTTTAGGGCCTCACTCGAGCCCCCCTCCCCCCAGTAGCTCAGTGTTAAGTCTGTAGACTTATAACGCTAAAAATCGGGCTTCGATACCCGTGGAGGCACAGCACAGATAACTCATTGTGTAAACTTGTGTTTAACAAACAAAACTCTTAGTGGCTCAGCAGTAAGCCCGAAAGCTTATGACGCTAAAATTCGAGTTTCGATACCCGTGGTGGGCACAGAATAGATAACTCATTGCGCAGCTTTGTGCTTAGCAAAGAAACAAAAACAGAATCCTTACTCAAAAAAACTTCAAACGTTCGAATCCCTCATTTGACGCAACATGATTTAGCGTTAACGTTGAGGTGACTTGCTACAGAGTTTGGAAATAGTCACTAAACAACACATTTGGTCTTAATAAAACTATATACTTTACGGGGATGTGAATAAAAACTAATAACGGTTATTAACAGCAGTTATTGTAATGTACACGTTTAGTTTCAACGACAAATAATGAACTGATTTAGACGTAACACAATCAAAGTTTAGTTGTTTTTCGGCGATGTAAGTCTTAATAACGTTTTAGGCTTAAAGGCAAAAATGTAAGGATCATGTGACTTGAGCTTTTTTTTTATATTTCTTAAAATAAAGATGTCGCTCCTGTTTTTGTTGTCTCGCTGAACCAGTTATGTCACGCGCCACACTGTGATAAACAAATAACTACACGTATATTAACCATAGAATTACTGAGCCCCATCAGCTTTTACTGAATTCATGGGGTGTTCAAGGGGGAATGTCCCCCTGTGAAGAATCCCTCCCACTCCTGAAGTACATTATTTTCCATTTTGTTGAATTTGAATTTGGCTTCATTCCCTCAAGTCCCCCCCCCAGGTGATAAGGTCTATATTCAACATTGGGAGTCTAGTAACTTACGAGTCACATGACATGTAAATAACATCAATGTTGCATTAATATCACTAACTACTGCTAGAGATGCCTATGTATGAAGTCAGTTCTTCACACTTTGTGCTACAACAAGACATAAAATTGTGAGGACCCCTTCCGGTAATGAAAGTTATAAAAACAAGGCAGCAATTTCAGGGTTGATACATCAATTTATGACTTATTTGAACAGTTTTCTTGTATGATAAGTATAGCGAAGACTGCTAATCCCAGTAATTCTAGCCTGATATTTTAAGCATAAGCTGTTTGTGCTAAAGAACTCGCAATATTTGTTTGTATTCTGGTTTCTTCGCAAACATAAGTTGTCTTTTTTTTTGGTAAAAGTTCATTATTGGTCCTTCATCTATGGCTTTTAACTGACATTTTTTTTTTCAAATGTACGTTTTACGAAGCCTCCAAAAGTCACACAAAACGCCTGTCATTGATGGAGGCAGTTATGCTAGGGATAAAATTACGTTTCGTGTTGTAGAGGTTATGTTAAGAATGCTGAAAGCCAGGTTAGGATTGAACCAATTAGGACACGACTTTCGTTTTTGTTTTCTAATAGACCCTTAACATGTCTCATTGTTGTTGTTCTAATTTTCACTCTAGTGTTGGCCCGGGCGTAGCCTAGATGTTAGCGTGCCCGAACGAGGGTTATCTGTCAGCGTCCAGTTGCCGCAAAAACGCGCTCCGCACTTGGGAGCCGGGGGGGGGTGGGTCGCTACAAGAGTGATGGCCAAATCTCACTGTTTGGTCAGACAACAGTAGCCTAAGAGTTGGCGGTGAGTGCTGTTGACTAGCTGCTTTCCTTCTGGTCTTCTGCCATTTTTTTACAGCTAGAGACAGCTATGCACAAATAGCCTTTATGTAGTTTTACGAGAAATTTCTAAACAAACTGCTCTAGTGTTAAAGAGAACCCAGGTTTTGGAAACCATATTTAATGCCTAAATCCAAGCACAAGACAGATCAGATTCCAACATCTGCTTCAACCCCCCCCCCCCCCAAACCTTCGAAAGCGTTATTGATATTTATGTAAGACATTCAGTTCTAATTCATAAAATGCGCTTTACCTCACAACGCACGTGAAGGGGCCTATCAAGACTATCTGAACAGGGTGGGGGACTGATCTCTCTCTCACAAGGTCGTCGTCGTGGAGCACGTGTAGCCTCGCTCGAGCCAAGAGGACTTAGATTTCTTGAATACCACCAACCTCGAATCGTTGAAGGCTGAAGTGTTAATAGGTGTGCTAGGACTAAAAAAGAAACCAAGTTCTCGCAAGTTGTGTATTGGAAGTAATGTGAGCTCTTGCGTCATGGTGTTATTTATGTATTTTATTTATCAATAAGAGGTACACTATGGCAGAGTCCTACTATGGCGCCTCTCCCTCGAGCTCAAAAGGATGCCCCAAATTATTCATAATGCCCTTAGTGGCTCAACGGTATGTCTAAAGGCTTATAACGTTGAAATCCGCGGTTTGATACCCGTGGTGAGCACCCCACAGATAGCCCATTGTACAACTTTGCGCTTAACAACAACATTAAACAAACAAATACTGATAATGGAGCTAACAGGCAGAAATGGTGTGTATTTCTGTATTCGTTTCAAATTTTCTATTGAGTTAACGACTGATTGGCAAATTCGTATATAATAATATATTATTGCAGCGTGTAAAAGACAGACAAATGGATCCAGACTTTCATGGGTGGTCCAAACTGTCATATGGGGTGAGTGGGAGGGTTACCTGATACCAAACATAGAGAGATACAAAAAAATCCCACACCGCTAGGTGTCGCTATTATTACATTTCTAGGCACTTTTGCCCTTTTCGTATATTTGTTTCAATTTTGTGCTATAAAAAAAGAGGCCCTGTTTATATTTCTTTTAATTTTACTCTATAAAAACATTATCGAGGGGGGGGGGGTTAG